CACACCTGCTGAGACAGTATGTCTGCCGTTCACTCACATGTTGAAAGGGACCCCGTCTCCGTTTCATCTGTGGCCTAAAGCACTCATCAAGCGGGTGTCTTTCCATGCTCCGCCATTCAACAAGCAGCACCCCATGCACTGTGAACACCACGACACGCCATCAAAACTCAAACTGTATATCCGGGGGACCCTGCGCCCCCTCCTCAACCTCGCAACTCCAATCCAAGCTGATGTGTGGTGGCGCATGCTGTACCGGATGCTGCCGGTGAACTACACTTTGTTCTTCCTGCAGTCCCAGCAGCCTCACATCATGGAATGCGTATATCCTGGATGCAGTGCCGTGGAGACCATGCGTCATGCTTTGGTCGAATGTGCTTGTGTGTGCAGTGTCTGGACTTGGCACTCTGCCTCATGGCGACAATTTGGCTTAGAGTTTAGCTGGTCCAAACTATCTGATCTAGACCAAGTGGCCGTACATCCGCGGTGGCAACACATGGAAGAACCCCTCCGCAAACTCTGGGTCATGCTTGCAGCAGTGGTCTTGCACACCATGTGGACTCACCGCAACAAAACTCGATTCGAGGACAAACCGCCACCGTTTGTACCCGCAGTGAGGCACTCGTCCCTGGTCTCCTGGAGTGCCAGCGTCCGACGACTGCTTCGCGACCCCAGCGTGGACGACACTGACCGCCTTCACATCGCGACAGCGCTCTCATTGCTTGGCCAACACACCCACTACTCGTGGTTTTGGGCACAAAACCCTTGGGCCTTCTCCCCACCATCGTGGGCTTCACCTCCACCATAGTGCATGTTGCAATGTGATCTCCCCAGTACAGACGGCGACACGCACGTGACCACAACCAGTGCGACGGAGACCACGACGGCTACGTCAAAAGCGACGACGAATGCACATGTTACCATGACAGATACACATGTGATCGGGCGGGTGCACCGGTGACGACATTGCTGCGCTTCGACCACGACAAGGATACCGGCGGCGACAATGCTGTACTGGGACCACGAAAACATGGGTCCCGGTGACGACAAGCTACTGGGACCACGATGTGTGGC